CTTTCTCCCTTTTCACCCCTCAATTGTTCCTTTACATAGCATGTGTGAAGGGAATTCAGTGTTGAATCATCTTAAGGTGGAACCACAGGTGAAGCCACAGAGAATGATGAAGTAGATTCAACATTAAGAACACGCACGACATCTGCAGGATTGATAAATAAAAAAAAATGACTCAAAAGCATGCTTTTAGCTTTGTCTTTTCTCTTTTCAAAGAAGCTTTTAGAGAGAAAGAAAGACAAAAATTACCCCAAATCATTTTATTTTACATTACTGAGCTGTCCCATTAAAACCAATTGGGGACACCTTACATTTATGTTATAAAAATACAGATTTCAAGCAAGTTTCTTTCATTTTATATTAGTTTATATAATGTAAGCTAAAGGAAAATGCAAGCTGGGTGGTTAAACTCTCAAAGGCATATTAAACTAACATCTTATGAGTCAATAGCATAATTGATCTAGATTTCAAATCTGTTTAACAATAATGGCCACACCTTAGGTACAGTACTAAACCAATACTTCAGTGCAATAAGAGGAGTTCTAACCATGCAACTATATGGATTATTTTATTTTGAATTTTTTCAAACAAATTTATGAAAGATTACATATTAAAATCAATAAGCCTTTTTTTTTCTGTACTTTAAGGTAAAGTTTTCATTTTAAGTCATTTTTCCAAAAAGAAAAAATTGTTGGTACAATTATTGTGCAAAAATTACTTAGGTTTAATGTATTCATTCAAATCTTACCATATGAAGCAAAACCTTGCCTTCAAGCCAAGAAAAGCTCAAGAAAATGAGTGGATTGGCAAAAAGCTGGCCTCTAGGATTCTCCATTTTTCCATAAAAAAATGTTTTTCCATTTATATATAGCATGGCACTTATTGATATTTACTGCTTTTTCAGTTTTTTGTTTTATTTTTTTTCTTTTGAAAATGAAATTATAATGATCATTTGCAGAAAACTTTTTAGAAAATGAAATTTATTCGAATTTTTCAGCCCACTCATAAGGGTCACAACCAAGCACGTATGGATATTGTTGATACTTTTTTCTATGTTGGAGTTTAGGGCTTGCTGGGATTAGTGAGTTTGTCGCTATGCCAATTAGCCCAATTCCAATTTTACTATTCACTTTCTTGGGCTTCACAATCCCTCAACAACATGTTTCCCCCCTTTTACCTAGCCATACAAACAAAGATTTATAACTTGACTTGCCTTGAAATCCCAAAATATATGCTGATTCTTTGATTGATTTATTAATTTGATTTAATTAATTGGTGTTTTATATGAAAAATAATTAGAGGTGTTAAATGACATATTAGGTTGGTACGACACATGTCTGATGGTCTTTTATATCGTGCCTTACTAGTGACACTATTTTTTGCACTATATCGGATCAAACACGACTCATTAATAAATTTTTATCATTTTTTTTAAAAAAATTTTTCTTTATTTTTCAATTATCTTTAAAGGAGATGGATCAATTTACATCAATATAAAAAATTTTAACTATATATTTTTTTAATCATTAATTTTAATAGATCTAAAAAATAAGAGAGACAAATCAAGAAAAAAATGGATTAATCTTATTTCTTGAATTTATTTAAATCAATGGTTAGAAAAAGATGTAAATTTTTTTTTTGTGTAACTTGATTTTTTATCATCTTTAAAAACTAATATATGAAATTAATAATGAGCCACATAATTCATATGGTTCAACAAAATAGTTATGTTTACTAATAAAGATTAAAAGAATACAGCAAAATAATATGTGAAAATTAATAAATACTAATATTACATCTTTAAATTAAAAAAATAGATATCAAAATATTATTTTATTTCTCATTTTCAATATATGATAATTCATTTGTATCATGTGTTTTGTTTTGTTTTTTTTTTAAGATACAAATTTCATAGTTTTTTTAAAATGATAAATCAAAATAAAAAATTATAATTTTCTCTATTAATAGTTTAAATATTTTATAAGTAGATTTATTTATATAATTTAATTTTTATAAACTATTAACATAAAATATAAAAAATATCCATCATATGATAAGAGTTATATTAAATACAATTAAGAACTAACAAATTAAACTTGTTTATAACATTTTTGGACCGACACAACACAATACATTAATACTTGTGTGTCTACTATATCAGCCCATGTGCTGCATACTAACATTGATCTTTAATGGGCGTCCTGTGTCAATTCAGTAAATTCAAAATATCTAACTCATGACAAATATATGAGTAGTGCTTGACTTGATCAATGATTTTAAGAATGGTCATGCCAAATAAGGCTCGTACCATATTGATTCGTGTCATGTTATAGGCTACCAAACTCATTTGATATCTCTAAAAATAATACATTATTATTATTGTAATTTTAGTATTTAAATTTAAATAACTGTAATTATAAGTGTATATATATTTATTGTAATAATTATGATTATTTGCTAGGTTAATCTGTTTTATTTAAAATTTTCCTAACAAAAATCTTAAAAAATTATTGTAATAATATTTTTGTACTAAAAACAATAATTAACCATTAATATAATGTTTCTAGTGCACTAGATAGCTTCGCAAGGAAGGTACGAAAATGATGGAGAAGCCCCTGGCACTAAAGTAATATTTGACATTCGCCCACTATCTTAAACCCAAATCCTCAACAGGCGCCAGAATAAAATCTCTCTTAACATAATTATTATTCCAAAAATACAAATCAGGATTATTAAACTCATAAAATATTTCAAAGAATATAAAAAATATTACTAGGTCCTCACATATATTTAAATCAATAATAATATCTTTATGACATTAAAAGAATGTAGATGTATTTACTATTTATACTAATCATATATAATATTATATTACAATATATATATATAAATTTAATAAAGTTTGTTTACGTAGGTGAATTTTTTTGGATGACACATAAAATAATAATAAATAATTATATTATATAATTATCAAAATAATCAAATATAAAAATTTTTTAAACTAAATCATTAAATAATAAATATTCAAATATTAATTCAGAAATGAATAAAAAGATATATGATTATTTACTTTATTTAATATTATGCAAATCCATTTAAAATATTTAAATTTGTTTAAATTGATAAGAGCATACATGAATTACTATTTAAAAATTTTAGTTTAAGGACTTAAAAATATCCATCTTAATTTATTTTTTAATTTCAAGTTAAATAAGTGAACAAAAACATCCATTTAAATAAATGGATAAAACATATTAATTATTAATATTTTAAAATACTTGATGTAAAATTAAAAACATAATAGAATTTTGCTATTCTATTCCATCCAAAACTCAATTCTTTACCACCTCCATTTAACATTTCTTCAAATTTTTCATTTAAAAATATTTTTTCATTCGAATTTCTTTTTCAAAACTCTATTTTCTCCCTTAAATTTTTCCATTTTTATTTTTATTTTTTTTGGCAATGATTTATAAGATAAATAAGAATAAACAATGAATCTTTTTTTTTTTTCGATTCCTTGAGGTATGTGGTTTATTTTTAAAAAGGTTTTCATTTTTTTATTGTCATGTAATTTTTTTGTTAATATATATAAGTTCTATTGCTCTTATTGTAAACTTTATTCTATTACAGTGATAAAAATTTTAAATTGGAGTTTTCCTATCATTTTTTTTATAATGAATGAAACTTTCTGAGCATGAATATATGTATGCATGAAAAAGATAAATATTTAGAGGATTGGAGAATGGTTTAGAATTCCATGAACTTTTTCGGTTTGACTTCCTAAATCATAATTTTGTTTTCAATTTCAAATTTCTCTATTAACTTTTAGTTGCACTTTATTTTAATTATATCTTTTCATATAATTTCTTGCGATCTATAAATACTTATTACATTTGGATTTTATGTAAACATTTTTTTTATATGACAAATTTCTCTTTTGTATTAATTAAGTAGTCAAATTTATGAAATGAATTTAATTAAAATTTTAAATGTCTTAAATATTTACTAATAAACTTTTCTAAACTAAGATGGAGATCAAAAAGTTATTTGAAAATTTTTGTTAATAAATTATATTTTTTTATTTTGAAAATTTTATGCTTTCGATTTAAGAAATTAAAAATCAAATCAAAGATTTTAATATTAAATATATAAATTTAATAAAAAATAAAAAGAGAGAAGTTACAAATATTTAAGATAAAAATAAAATTTTAAATGTATAAAAATTTTATATAAATTTTTAATAAATTAAGTTAAATATTATTATAAATATAAAAATCAGGTAATTTTTCACGGGTAAAAGATTAATGTAAATAGATTTGGGGTACATATTGGATTATAAGTTGTTAGTTATGTAGACTAAACAATATTTGATAAAAAAAACATAATAATTATTCATAAATTATTATTTCATATGTGTCATTGAAATTTATAAATATCATAAACAAGATTAATTATATGTTTTTTATTTTATTAAAATTTTAAATATATATATATATATATATATATTAAAAGTTGATCTTATAATCAAATCCTATCGAGTGTAAGGAAAAAACTGTGAATTAAATTAGTTTACAATTTTCATTAATGATGTATGAGATAATTTTTTTTTAATATTTATTGGTTATATGATGAAGGGAGAAAAACATACATATACTTTCAATTTTGTTTTCTTGTAACATTAAAAAAAAAAAATTGTATATAAAAAATATATTAAAAGCCTTTTTTTTCATTTTTTATTTTTTATTTTTACTTTTGCTTTGGTGGAACACTCTCCCATTTTATTTGATACATATCAACTAACGTGCTAAAAGTAGTAAGTAAATTATTAACCAAAAATTTATTATCCTCAATAAACTCATTAACCATTAAACTCTCTCAAAACACCTTCATTAACCTACTCTTTAATCCAAACTCAAAACTCTCTTAAAATCAAATCCGGCAGTTTATTATCTTTAAAAAAGAAAAAAAAAAAAAAGCCCGCAGCTAATCTCTTCATTTTCAATATTATTCGGTCTCCTGTCTTAACCAAGAACAAGAACAAGAACAAAAGAAAGAAAAAAAGGCTGTCAAAAATCTAAAGCTACTTTCCTTGAAACATCCACAAACCAACCAAAACCCGATATTTTCTCAGTTTTTTTTTTTTTATTCTTCTTTCTTGTTGCCAGCTTCTCTTTCAATTTCAAAGCAGTTTCCGAAAGAAAAAAAAATGAGTCCACGACAGGACCTTCTCAAAACTACGGCGTTCTTCTTCTCTCCAGAGAAGCCACGTGACAAGTTCCTGCTTATCACCCGAATCGCTCTTCTCGTCTGCCTTTTCACCTCCATAGCTCTCGTTCTTTACGGCTCCTTCTCGAACCGGCCTTACCCGTTTACCCGGTTCACTTCTTTGAACCAGAAAATCGGCTCCGAACAACCACCCGACAATGCCCCAACCAACATTTCCCACCTCCTCTTTGGCATCGGTGGCTCAGCCAAGACGTGGAAAGAACGACGCGCTGTTTGTTCGCTTTGGTGGCATGTGGATTCCACCCTCGGCTTTTTCTGGTTTGATGAAAAACCCGAAGACAACGGGATCGTTAACGGTTATCATACGGAAACGGCTATTTCGTTGCCTTATCGGATATCGAGTCCTGAGTGGACTCGGTTTAAGTATTCGAGTTCGAGACATGCGGTTCGGATCGCCCGAATAATATGGGATAGTTTTAACTTGAAGTTGCCTAATGTAAGGTGGTTTGTGATGGGTGATGATGATACCGTGTTTTTCACTCATAACTTAGTTTCTGTCTTAGCGAGGTAAACCCTTTTTTTTGGTTGACTTTTTTTATTTTTTTTATTAATTATTGCACGAAAATTTTCATTTCCTGCAATTTTTAAAAACTGTTTATAAGAAATTTCTAATATTACCTTATTAAATGTATTATTCTTCTTTTTTTAAATTGAAGAATGTTAGAGAAAGGATAACTTATCATAATAAAATTTTTAATTTTATATATATTTTAATAATTGATTTCAATAAATTTAAAAGATATTAAATTATTATTATTAATTATCTTTTTTATTTTTTGAAATATTGAAATCAATGATTAAAAAAAATTAAAAAATTTTGCTGATTTAAATTAATTTCTCTTTTTTTTTAATCTGATTACAAATAAGCTTTTTATATGTGTGTCACTCATCTTACATTTTTATTTACAAAATACATGAACGATTTTATACTTTTTGATGATTTTTGTGGGTGTATTTTTGGTATATTTTTTAATGTATAATTTTATTTAATGACAAGTAAAAGTTAACCTTGGTTTTTTTCGCATGTTTTTACACAAAAAAAAACTTTAATTCATGTAATATCAATGTCATTTTTGTAGCACATCAAAATTATTAATGATAAAATTTTCTAATTTTGGTTACAAATTGAACATTTTACATGCCAATGCAATGTCGCAATGATAAACAAGAGATTTCAATACATTTAAGTTTTTTATTCAAGTATTATTAAGTTCAAGTTTTGTTTAATTATATATAGGTTTGATTTTTTATTAATTTATATTACATAAAAAATATTTGATATTATGATTATACTTTTTATTGATGTATATAATTTCATAAATAATATTACATGAGTAAATAATTTTTTTGATAAAAATTGCACTAATACTTTTAAAATTTAATAATGTTTGAAATTTTCTTTTAAAAATTTCTTAAAGGTATGATCATCGTGAAATGTGGTACATTGGTGGAATTTCAGAGAGTGTAGAACAAAACGTAATGCATGCATACGACATGGCGTTTGGGGGTGGAGGTTTTGCAGTGAGTTATCCACTGGCTGAGAAATTAGTCAAAGTATTGGACGGTTGTCTCGAAAGGTACTTTCATTTCTACGGCTCTGATCAAAGGATATGGGCTTGCATCAGTGAGATTGGGGTCCCACTCACTAAAGAACCTGGGTTTCATCAGGTACGTTGATTTTCTTATTACTTGACGATCATGAATTTTGTTTTGCACGTGGCGACTATTTAATGCAAAGATGAGATGCCGGTAATTCATCCCGGCAAAATTCATAGGGTAGATTTTGACGTTTTGAAGGGTTTCTTGCCACGTGTAGAATTCTTTCTTTGGTTTGGTTGGTGATTTTGGTCCACTGATTAAAGATTGCTTTTGCCATCTTATCTTTTGTTTTCGCCAATCCTTTTGCCATTATACTGTAGAATGATGTTAAAGCTTATGAAAACCCTATTTTAGATTCCTTGCTAAAGATAATTAAGTTTTCAAAATCCTAATCAAAGCATAATTACATTATCAAGATATTAATTAGCATATAATTATAAATTTAATGAATGGACTTTCAGGCGTAATTTTATTTCTTCAACTCATATATATTATTAGTATTTTGGCAAAAAAAAATCATATTTATTTACATGAAAATGTCATTTATATATTTACTGGCTTAATGGTGATTTTTTTGTATTGAAAAATTTAAAATATGAAGAAAAATAGAATTATTATAAAGTAAAGCAAGCGGGGAATGAAAAAGCTTAGCACTTGAGGCATCTTAAAATCGAAAAATCATGGAAATTTTCTTCTACTATCATTTTCTTTAGATTTATGAAGAAATTAAGGTTTATTACAAATTAAGATGTGGGAACATTGTAGATCCAATCATTTCATTTAGGTGTGTAGATAAGTATAACACAAGAGTTCATTTCTATATATATATATATATATATATATATGACATAAAACTTATAGTAAAAACGAAAATTAGAAAATGGAAAGCCAAAATAATGTCTCTGGTAAAAAAGTACATTAATTCCCACAGCAATGGAGCTTGATTTGATCTTCAAAAGTCATTGTATTCTCTGAGGATTCAATGATTTTTGGGATTTCAATGTGATGAGAATGCATTTTTATCGTACCTGAATTTGTTAACCAATGGATCCTATGACATGACGGTTAACTTGAATATTAATTTGATTGAATTATATAACCGAAGATAGAGGACTGAATTTTTAGCATTAGGTAAAGAAAAGTTTGCTTTGTCAACTCAATTGACAAAGTTGAAAATCGAAAACCAACCAAAAAAAAAAAAAATTATTTTTGGGCCAAACTAGTATTACATTCTTAAGGTCCCAAACGAACAAACGAAAGGAATAGGCCACAAACTAAAGGGGAACCGTGTGAAGTTATTGCATTTTTAAGGTCCCAAAGATACAAACAAAAGGAATAGGCCACAAATTAAAGGGGAACCATGTGAAGATAGATATGTATACCCAACACAAAGAATAGGTCTGGCCTACAGTTTTTATTGTTAGTACTTTTCACAGTTGTAAAAGTAGAACCAAAAGAAGTTGTTTGGAAATGTCAGTCATATGAAGAAACCAACTCTGTGAGATAACATCTCCGCTGGTAGAAATTTAGAAAAAGTTTGTTGGTTAAGTTAAAATGGTTTCTCTGTCAAACTTCCTGAAATTCTTTTAAGTTTTCTGGTAGAAAACAACTTATTCGTTTCTATTACTTCACATGGAGGATTGTTGTATCCTCAGCTACTATTATTGGTCCCCTTTCATACTTTTTTTTTTATTTTACTTCTTTACTAAATTTTATTTGTTTATATATACTATTTTGATGCCATAAAAGGATGAGGAAAATTTGTCTTTATAATATCAATTAATATTGAATTTTGTTATTTTATTTAAATTTTATTATTATATTTTAAGTTTTATTGATTTTTGAATAAAATAATAAATTTAAAAGATTTTATTATTGTAAATAGCAAAATTTCATCAATTTCATTATTTTTTAATCTAAAAATTAACAAAATTTGACAAAATTGAAGTATAAAATTCAATGTTAACATCATACAATATAATGATAAATTTGGTCTTTATTTTTTCTTTTTTTTGTAAAAGATGTTTAGATTAGATTTAAAAGAAAAAAATGATCTATTTTGGTTTGCTTGCATGTGGGTAAGATTTATATTTACTCTTTTTTTTTTCCTTAGATTTTGCTGACCACTTTCCTCTTCTCTTTTTTCTTTTGAAAAGATTTTACAAAGAACAATGTACCATACTAACCATTACTTTTTTCCAGCTGTCTGGTCCCAAATATTGAGGAACAAAGGATCTGAAAAATTAAAGTTTTCAACATTTAATGTCCATGAACTGTTGTTAGGTGTTAGCTTCCCATTTGAGGTTGTTGAGTGGGCACTACCATCAATGCATTTTCTTTTCAAGTATGTCTTTTTTTTTTTTTTTAATTGTGCTTCTCATTCTCATGCATTTAAACAGGGCATGAACATGGGTAATCCATAATTGGCCATGTGGCAGAGGAAAAAAAATCCTTTGTTGGCAAGGCTATTCATTTGCATTACTTACAGACAGTTTATATGAAGATTCTTTTTCTCTGCTAATTTGACTAATCTGAAAACCTATACTTTTTCCTTATGAATATTGATGACCCACTTTAGTCATTGCTAAAGAAAAGAAAGTTGTTTTCATTGTAAGCAATGATAATACATTGAGAAAAGGCATCATCTAATATTATTGATTTTTAATAATACCCTTAAAACATATTTATTAGTAAAGTACTTTTTATTTTATTATATTTAAAATTACTAAGATTTGAATACTAATCATTAAACTAGAATTTAATGCTTTTTTTATTTATTTTAATTTTTGTGCTTGACTTTGCGGAAATATTTAAGTACCCAGTTCTATAGTTTTTTGAAAATTTCTGGATGATAATATTTATTTTTTTCATAAAAAAATTTCAGTTTGATGTTAGAGGGGATCCATATGGTCTACTAGCAGCGCACCCCATGACGCCACTAGTCTCACTCCACCACCTAGATGGCTTGATGCCCATGTTCCCCAACAAGACCCGGATTGACTCCTTGAAGACCCTTATCCGAGCATACCGGGTTGATCCGGGCCGGATCCTCCAGCAAAGTTTCTGCTATGACAGCAAGAGGAAATGGTCATTTGTCATTTCATGGGGCTACACCATTCAAATATATCCATGGTTTGTGACTGCATTTGATCTGCATATGCCATTGCAGACTTTTAAGACATGGAAGACTTGGAGCAATGGACCTTTCACGTTTAATACCCGACCTATGTCAGCTGACCGGTGTGAATGGCCAATTGTTTATTTCCTGGACCAGGTTGAGGAGGTTGGCATAAGTGGAACCAGGACCAGGTACAAGTTAGCCAAGTCGGAAGAATTCTGTAATAGAGCAGACTATGCCCTGGTAATGGCTGTCAATAACATCACAGTTTCTTCAATGAAGATGGCTCTAGATTATTGGAAAAAGGTGAGTTTCAACTGTATTAGCAGTACAAATACAGATATTTCTTTAGAAATATGTGTACCTAGATACCACAATCCTAGTTCTTTGAATGCAAGACATGCAAGTCTTGCATAAGAGTGTTAATATTTGAACTTAAAATCTCTACTCAAACCTGATCAGTTTATCTCATTCAATTAAACATGTTGAACATATAATCCTGATGTTTTCTGTATACGCAGGCGCCACATAGACAATGCTGCGAGATCATGGAAAAAGGAAGCATAAAGAGTGGCAGTATGCTAATTAGAATTAGGAATTGCAGAAAATTGGAAACAACTACTATATAGAGGTAGGCAGGGAAACTTATGTAAATAGGCATTTCCTGGAGAGTACTAATAGCGTCTAGGATTTTTTTTATAGCCATTTTTAGCTAGAAGAAACCTAAACTCCTTTTCTCATAGTTTTAACATTATTGAATGACAAATGACTTGAGAGAATGATAATTTACCTATTCCAAAAAAATGATAATTAACTGTTGCGTAGATATGATCGTCAACATTCAACCATCCAATGCACAGCGCTAACAAAAGAGAAGTTGTTCGATTTCCATGCACGTCTCTATCCTAAAATGTAATCAAATATTTAGTGGAACTAAACTTTTTCTTTTCACAATTTTCAGTTTCCAATTGTGGGGAATGACAGGAAATGAGAAACTTTAATATGGATGATTGTGGCAGTCTCCGTAACAGCTTCACCATGGATGATATTGCAAGGGTCTGGATTTGAACCCCCAATGAGAATAAGTAGTCCAACTGGAGACATTGAAAATATGCAGAACCGCTAAGAGATCCATGCTACAAGCATGAAATAACAATCATCAGAAGGAGGAAAAGGAAAGAATTCAGAAAGTGGCAAAAAAGATTTAATGTTAGTTGTTTTCTAGCAAAAGATCAATAAATGACATCCACATTTGGTTGGTGCACTTGTCACGGACCTAAGAAAGAGTCATGAATCCCACATTGAACATAATAGGAGGGTCACTGGGGTATGAAAGGGTTCACACCACCTCTTCCTTGTGAGGCACCTTTTGTAGGACAAAACCGTGAGGTCAAGGGGGCAAGAGCGGACAATACCTCACAAGGGTGTGAACCGTGGCGGTTAGGCTGATCTGGGATGCCGGATGAGTGGATGCCTGGTTCTCGGAGCTGCATGAGTTTGGAGCTTAAGTCTTAACCCGTGACAAGTGGTACGCCGGATGAGTGGATGCCTGGGTCCCGGAGCCGCCCGAGTTTGGAGTTTAAGTCTCAACCCGTGATAAGTGGTATCAAAGCCAACCCTAAATCGTTTGACCCACGCCAAGCGTCTCGAAGGAGGTAAGCAGAGTGGCTAGTCTCCGTGATGAGGGAGAATGTCATGGACCTACAGAAGAGTCATGAATCTCACATCGAACATAATAGGAGGGTCACTGGGGTATAAAAGGGTTCACACCACCTTTTCCTTGTGAGATGCCTTTTGTAGGACAAAACTGTGAGGCTAAGGGGGCCAGAGCGGATAATACCTCACAAGGGTGTGAACCGTGGTGATTAGGCTGATCTGGGACGTCGAATCAATGGATGCCTGGGTCCCGGAGCCACGCGGGTTCAGAGCTTAAGTCTCAACCCGTGACACACTAACTGTCATAACGTATAGATCCGTAGATCAACTGCTAGACATGAATTAGAAGAGTCACCGCTAATCTTTTTTGTTTAGGTGTGATTGGTCACCTGATCGAATTTGTCTCATTTAAAGAAGAGTTCTAAAGTTGACTTAGGTATCTTTAAATAGTAGATTATGATCCACGAAATCAGATTTTAGGTTCAGGAGTATGATTATGCGCAATGAAGGTTATAGCACCCTCACAGTGCCTATCAAAAGATAGTACTAGTTTGATTTCAAATTATCCAAGCCTTAAAAATGTTTATTCTTGATCAAAATATTTAATATTGAGAATTAATCTTAAAATTACTTCAATAGTTTGGCAGCAATTTAAGATAATTCTCTTATCTTATGAGTATTTATGGAGACTAGTGTCATACTCTAAAGAGGCTCTATCGTCGAATTTATTAATATATTTTATTCGAAGAAATTAGTAAAGTCCTCCAATAGTTTGATAAGATTTACTTTGAGGTAGATCTATTAATAGTTTGGTGAACTGTTACTGGTGCTTGACGTGATTAATTGTGTGCCAACTTGTTTTATATTTATACGCAAACTGAGGAGGAGCACTCAAAGCTTAATATTTTTGAAATTTTATGTTTTGCTTTGAAAATGACTTTCGTTGGAATCAAGTTTTAAAATACTATTTTAGCAAGGGCGTAAAAACCATTTGCACAATTTCAAATTGTGATATAGAAATCATTTTGCACAATTTTAAGTTTTTGTTGTATTTCATACTTTTTGCTTTGGATACATTCTTAGGAGAATTCATGAATGCTTTGAGGAATATGTGGGATTACATATGAATGCTCTTGATATTAGGATTGTGTGAATGATTTGGATATTATTTGTGAAACTGTTATTGGTGCTTGATGTGATTAATTGCATGTCAACTTGTTTTTATATTTATGCGCAAACTTAGGGGGAGCACTCAAACCCTAATGTTTTTGAAAATTTATGTTTTGCTTTGAAAATGACTTTCAGTTGAGTCAAGTTTTAAAATATGAAATACTGTTTCAACAAATTTTTACATGAAACTGAATTTGAATATCTTGAATCTAATGTTTTTAAACTTGCTCAAATAAAAAAACATGATAAGTTGCATTGGTTTTAATTTTTTACAGTGTTAAGTGCAAGTTGTAAAAGACTTTGGAGCTTAAACTATCAAAATTTGTTTTTGAACAATTATGGGCATAAAAATTATTTACACAATTTCAAATTGTGATATAAAAACCATTTTGCATAATTTCAACTTTTCGTTGTGCTTCATACTTATTTGCTTTGGATACATTTTTAGGAGAATTCATGAACGCTCGAGGAATTTGTAAGATTACATATGAATGCTCTTGATATTGGGATTGTGTGAATGATTTGGATTTATTTGTGAAATTTTTACTGGTGCTTGATGTGATTAATTGCGTGCTAACTTGTTTTTATATTTATGCGCAAACTTAAAGGGAGCACTCAAAGCCTAATATTTTTGTTATATTTTGCTTTGAAAATGACTTTCGCTGGAGTCAAGCTTTAAAATATGAAATACTATTGCAACAAGTTTTTAAATGGAATTGAATTCGAATATCTTAAATCCAATGTTTTTAAACTTGCTCAAACAAAGAAACATGATAAGTTGCATTAGTTTTAATTTTTCACAGTGTTAAGTGCAGATTATAAAGGATTTTAGAGCTTAAAATATCAAAATCTATTTTTGAATAGTTATGGGCATAAAAACTATTTGCACAATTTCAAATTGTGATATAAAAACCATTTTGCACAATTTTAACTTTTCCTTGTGTTTCATACTTATTTGCTTTGGATACATTTTTAGGAGAATTCATAAATGCTTTGAGGAATCTGTGGGATTACATATGAATACTTTTGATAGTGGGATTGCGTGAATGATTTGGATATTATTTGTGAAACTGTTATAGGTGCTTGATATGATTATTTGCGTGCCAACTTTTTTGTATATTTATGTGCAAATTTAAGGGAACACTCAAAGCTAATGTTTTTGAAATTTTTTGTTTTGCTTCGAAAATGACTTTCGTTGGAATTAAGCTTTAAAATATGAAATACTGTTTCAACAAGTTTTTAAATGGAACTGAATTTGAATATCTTGAATCCAATGTTTTTAAACTTGCTCAAACAAAGAAACATGATAAGTTGCATTGATTTTAATTTTTCATAGTGTTAAGTGCAAGTTGTAAAGGATTTTGGAACTTAAAATATCAAAATCTGTTTTTGAACAATTGTGGGCATAAAAACCATTTTAATAATTTCAAATTGTGATATAAAAACCATTTTGCACAATTTTAACTTTTGTTGTGTTTGATACTTATTTGCTTTGGATACATTTTTAAGAGAATTCAAGAATGCTCAGAGGAATCTGTAGGATTACATATGAATGCTATTGATATTGGGATTGCATGAATGATTTGGATATTATTTATGAAACTGTTACCAGTGCTTGATATGATTAATTGTGTGCCAACTTGATTTTATATTTGTGCACAAACTTAGAAGGAACACTCAAAGCCTAATGTTTTTAAAATTTTATGTTTTACTTTAAAAATAACTTTCGCTGAAGTCAAGCTTTAAAATATGAAATACTATTTCAGCAGGTTTTTAAATGAAACTAATTTGAATATCTTGAATCCAATATTTTTAAACTTGCTCAAACTAAGAAACATGATAAGTTGTATTGGTTTTAATTTTTTACTATGTTAAGTGCAAGTTGTAAAAGACTTTAGAGCTTAAAATATCAAAATCTGTTTTTGAACAATTATTGGCATAAAAATCATTTGCACAATTTCAAATTGGGATATAAAACCACTCTGCACAATTTTAACTTTTCGTTGTGTTTCATATATATTTGCTTTGGATACATTTTTAGGAGAATTCAGGAATACGCTGGGGAATCTATAGGATTACATATGAATGTTCTTGATATTGGGATTGCATGAATGATTTGGATTTTATTTGTAAAATTGTTACTATACTTAACGTGATTAATTGTCTGCCAACTTATTTTTATATTTATATGCAAACGTAGAGGGAGCACTTAAAGCTTAATGTTTTTAAAATTTTATGTTTTGCTTTGAAAATGACTTTCGTTAGAGTCAAGCTTTAAAATATGAAATACTATTTCAGCAAGTTTTTAAATAGAACTGAATTTGAATATCTTGAATCCAATGTTTTTAAATTTGCTCAAACAAAAGAAACATGATAAGTTGCATTGGTTTTAATTTTTCACAGTGTTAAGTGCAAGTTGTAAAGGACTTTGGAGCTTAAAATATCAAAATCTGTTTTTGAACAATTATGGGCATAAAAATCATTTGCACAATTTCAAATTGTGATATAAAAATCATTTTGCACAATTTTAACTTTTTGTTATGTTTCATACTTATTTGCTTTGGATACATTTTTAAAAGAATTCATGAATGCTCTGAGGAATCTATAAGATTACATATGAATGCTCTTGATATGGGATTGCATGAATGATTTGGATATTATTTATGAAACTGTTATTGGTGCTTGATGTGATTAATTGCGTGCCAACTTGTTTTTATATTTATGAGTAAACTTAGGGGAATCACTCAAAGCCTAATGTTTTTGAAATTTTATGTTTTGCTTTGAAAATGATTTTTGCTGGAGTCAAGCTTTAAAATATAAAATACTATTTCAACAAGTTTTTAAATGGAACTAAATTTGAATATTTTGAATCTAATGTTTTTAAACTTGCTCAAACAAAAAAAACACGATAAATTGCATTGGTTTTAATTTTTACAGTGTTAAGTGCAAGTTGTAAAGGACTTTGCTTTGAAAATGATTTTTTCTGGAGTCAAGCTTTAAAATATAAAATACTGTTTCAGCAAAATTTTAAATTGAACTAAATTTGAATATCTTGAATCCAACGTTTTTAAACTTGCTCAAACAAAAAAAAACACGATAAGTTGCATTGGTTTTAATTTTTCACAGTGTTAAGTGCAAGTTGTAAAGGACTTTGGAGCTTAAAATATCAAAAACTATTTTTGAACAATTGTGGGCATAAAAACCATTTGCTTAATTTCAAATTGTGATATAAAAACCATTTTCCACAATTTTAACTTTTCCTTTTGTTTCATACTTATTTGCTTTGGATATATTTTTAGGAGAATTCATGAATGCTTTGAGGAATCTATGGGATTACATATAAATGCTCTTGATATTGAGATTGCGTGAATGATTTGGATATTATTTGTGAAACTGTTACCGGTGCTTGACGTGATTAATTATGTGCCAACTTGTTTTTATATTTATGTGCAAAC